GCTGCCCGACGCCAGGCTGGGCACAGAAACCGGGATTTTGGGAAAATCAACATTATTAGTTCACAATCAGCCCAAAATCCCCCCAAAATCCTTCAAAAATTGCCCCAAAATTACCCAAAAATCCCCCACAAACTGCCCAAAACCCCCCCAGAAATGCTCCCAAAATCCCCCCAAAACATCACCCAAAACACTGCCCTGAAATTGCCCAGGCTGGGGACAAAAATGGCAATTTTGGGAAAATTCAACATTGAGAGTCCAAAATCAACCCAAAAATCCCACGAAAATCGCCCAAAAATCACCAAGAAATCATCCTAAAAATGCCCAAAAATCACCCAAAACAGCCCAAAAATCAGACAAAAAAATGCCCAAAAATCCCTAAAAAATCCCCCAAAAATCACCCAAAAAATGGCCCCAAAATCCCCCCCCAAAATCTCCTAAAATTCCCCAAAAATCCCCCCAAAATGCCCCAAATTTTGGGATTTTTTTTATTTTCCCCAGGATTTTGGGTTCATTTTTAGGGTTTTTGGGTTTTTATGAATTTGGGGAGGGGTCTCAGACCTGCAGAGGGTCCCCACCCCCTCCCCTTTCCCTGGGTGTTTTTCCCCAAATTTCGGTATTTTTTCCCCAGGATTTCGGTTTTTTTGGGATTTTTTTGGGTTCATTTCTGGGGTTTTTGGGATTTTTGGGTTTTTGGTAATTCGGGGAGGGGTCTCAGACCTGCAGAGGGTCCCCACCCCCTCCCCTTTCCCTGGGTGTTTTCCCCCAATTTTGCTGCTTTTTCCCCAAATTTCGGTATTTTTTCCCCGGGATTTTTGGATTTTCCCCAGGAATTTTGGGTTCATTTTCGGGGTTTTTGGGTTTTTTTGAATTCGGGGAGGGGTCTCCGACCTGCAGAGGGTCCCCAGGCCGTGCTCGTGGGCCCCGTCGTGCTCGGAGCGCAGCAGCGCCGCCGCCCGCGCCACCAGGCCCTGCTGCACGAGTGGCTCTGCGGGGAGATTGGGGTGAAATCCGGGGATTTTGGGTAAATTCCAGAGATTTGGGGTGAAATCCGGGGATTTTGGGTCATTTCTGGGGAATTTGGGGTGAAATGTGGGGATTTTGGGTCATTCTGGGAACGCCACCAGGCCCTGCTGCACCAGCGGCTCTGCAGGGGGAAATTTGGGGTGAAAATCCCCGATTTTGGGTAAATTATGGGAATTTGGGGTGAAATCCGGGGATTTTGGGTCATTTCTGGGGAGTTTGGGGTGAAATGTGGGGGTTTTGGGTCATCCCGGGAACGCCACCAGGCCCTGCTGCACCAGCGGCTCTGCGGGGAGATTTGGGGTGAAAATCCGGGATTTTGGGTAAATTCCAGAGATTTTGGGTGAAATCCGGGGAGTTTGGGGTGAAATCTGGGGATTTTGGGGTGAAATTTGGGGATTTTGGGTCATTCCCTGAACGCCACCAGGCCCTGCTGCACCAGCGGCTCTGCGGGGAGATTTGGGGTGAAAATCCCCGATTTTGGGTCATTTCGGGGGAGTTTGGGGTCAGTTCTGGGGATTTTGGGTCATTCCCTGAACGCCACCAGGCCCTGCTGCACCAGCGGCTCTGCGGGGAGATTTGGGGTGAAAATCCCGGATTTTGGATCATTTGGGGAGTTTGGGTCATTTCTGGGGATTTTGGGTCATTTCTGGGGATTTTGGGCTCAATTCTGGGGGATTTTAGTGGGAATTTCGGGGTTTTTTGGGTTTTTTTGGGGTTTTTTTGGGTCTCACTGCCAGGCGGTGCCAAGGGGGCTCGGGGCTGGTTTTGGGGTGAATTTCGGGGATTTTGGGTCATTTCTGGGGATTTTGGGCTCAATTCTGGGGGATTTTAGTGGGAATTTTGGGGTTTTTTGAGTTTTTTTGGGGTTTCACTGCCCAGGCGGTGCTGAGGGGGTTCGGGGCTGTTTTTGGGGTGAATTTTGGGTCATTTTTGGGGATTTTAGGATGAAATCTGGAGAGTTTGGGCTAAAATCCTGGGATTTTGAGGTCAATTTTGGGGATTTTGGGTCATTTCTGGGGATTTTGGGCTCAATTCTGGGGGATTTTAGTGGGAATTTCGGGGTTTTTTGGGTTTTTTTTGGGTCTCGCTGCCGGGCGGTGCCGAGGGGGCTCGGGGCCGTTTTTGGGGTGAATTTCGGGGGTTTTGGGGCTGACCTGTGAGCCGGGGGTGCTCCCTGAGCAGGCAGTGCAGCAGGAAGGCGGCGCGGGCCCGCAGGGGGGGGTGGGGGCTCTGCAGGGCCCCCCCGAGCACCTCGAGACCCCCCAGGGCCTCGAGCTGCTCCAGGCCCTGCGGCTGGGCCCGCACCAGGCCTGGGGGAGAGAAAACAGGGTTAAAACGGCCAAAAATGGGCAAAATCGGAAAAAAAACAGCAAAAAACCACCCAAAACCCCTCAAAACAGACCCAAAATCCCCAAATCTGCCCCAAATCCATCCCAGGGCCTCGAGCTGCTCCAGGCCCTGCGGCTGGGCCCGCACCAGGCCTGGGGGAGAGAAAACAGGGTTAAAACGGCCAAAAACGGGAAAAATAACACAAAAATCGGCAAAAAACCACCCAAAACCACTCAAAACAGCCCCAAAATCCCCAAATCTGCCCCCAAATCTGCCCCAAATCCATCCCAGGGCCTCGCGCTGCTCCAGGCCCTGCGGCTGGGCCCCCCCCAGGANCAAAAACCCTCAAAATCCACCCCAAAACCCCCAAATCTGCCCCAATTCCACCCCAGAGCCTCGAGCTGCTCCAGGCCCTGCGGCTGGGCCCGCACCAGGCCTGGGGGAGAGAAAACGGGGTTAAAACGGCCAAAAACGGGAAAAATAACCAAAAAAACAGCAAAAAACCACCCAAAAACCATCAAAATCCACCCCAAAAACCCCAAATCTGCCCCAAAATCTGCCCCAATTCCACCCCAGGGCCTCGAGCTGCTCCAGGCCCTGCGGCTGGGCCCGCACCAGGCCTGGGGGAGAGAAAACGGGGTTAAAACGGCCAGAAACGGGAAAAAGAACCAAAAAATCACACAAAAACCACCCAAAAATCCCCTAAAAATCCCGTAAAAATCCCAAAAAATGACCAAAAAAATCCCTCAAAAAATCCCGTAAAAATCCCAAAAAATGCCAAAAAAACCTCCAAAAATTCCCCAAAAAACTCAAAAAAATCCCATAAAAACCCCAAAAAATTCCCAAAAAATCCCCAAAAAATTCCCAAAAATCCTCAAAAATCCCCAAAATTCCCGAATGCCCCCAAAACTCACAGGAGACGGCGAAGAGGGCGGCGGGGGCACGCGGGGGTCGGGGTCCCCCTGCAGCTCCCACTAAAAACTCCAAAAAATCCCAAAAAACCCCCAAAAATCACCAAGAAATGCCAAAAAAAATCCCAAAAAAATCCCAAAAAATCCCCAAAAATCCTGAAAAATCCCCAAAATTCCCGAATGCCCCCCGACTCACAGGAGACGGCGAAGAGGGCGGCGGGGGGCACGCGGGGGTTGGGGTCCCCCTGGAGCCCCCACTAAAAACCCCAAAAAATCCCAAAAAAACCCCAAAAATCACCAAGAAATGCCCAAAAAAATCCCAAAAAAATCCCAAAAAATCCCCAAACTCCCCCAAACCCCCCCAACTCACAGGAGACGGCGAAGAGGGCGGCGGGGGGCACGCGGGGGTTGGGGTCCCCCTGGAGCCCCCACTAAAAACCCCAAAAAATCCCAAAAAAACCCCAAAAATCACCAAGAAATGCCCAAAAAAATCCCAAAAAAATCCCAAAAAATCCCCAAAAATCCCCAAAAATCCCCAAACCCCCCCGGACTCACAGGAGACGGCGAAGAGGGCGGCGGGGGCACGCGGGGGTCGGGGTCCCCCTGCAGCTCCCACTAAAAACCTCCAAAAAATCCCAAAAAAACCCCAAAAATCACCAAGAAATGCCAAAAAAAATCCCAAAAAAATCCCAAAAAATCCCCAAACTCCCCCAAACCCCCCCAACTCACAGGAGACGGCGAAGAGGGCGGCGGGGGGCACGCGGGGGTTGGGGTCCCCCTGGAGCCCCCACTAAAAACCCCAAAAAATCCCAAAAAAACCCCAAAAATCACCAAGAAATGCCCAAAAAAATCCCAAAAAAATCCCAAAAAATCCCCAAAAATCCCCAAAAATCCCCAAACCCCCCCGGACTCACAGGAGACGGCGAAGAGGGCGGCGGGGGCACGCGGGGGTCGGGGTCCCCCTGCAGCTCCCACTAAAAACTCCAAAAAATCCCAAAAAACCCCCAAAAATCACCAAGAAATGCCAAAAAAAATCCCAAAAAAATCCCAAAAAATCCCCAAAAATCCTGAAAAATCCCCAAAATTCCCGAATGCCCCCCGACTCACAGGAGACGGCGAAGAGGGCGGCGGGGGGCACGCGGGGGTCGGGGTCCCCCTGGAGCTCCCACTAAAATCCCCCAAAAAATCCCAAAAAAACCCCAAAAATCACCAAGAAATGCCAAAAAAATCCCAAAAAATCCCCAAAAATCCTGAAAAATCCCCAAAATTCCCGAATGCCCCCCGACTCACAGGAGACGGCGAAGAGGGCGGCGGGGGGCACGCGGGGGTCGGGGTCCCCCTGGAGCTCCCACTAAAATCCCCCAAAAAATCCCAAAAAAACCCCAAAAATCACCAAGAAATGCCAAACGGGGTCCCCCCGCAGCGCCCCCAGCAGCGCCGGCAGCGCCCCCAGCGCCAGCGCCCGGCCCTGCGCTTCCGGAAGGTTCTGGGCGCAGACCCCCAGCAGCCGAGCGGCCCCCGCCCGCAGGGGGGGCCAGCGGTGCCCCAGGAGATCCAGGAGCACCTCCAGGCCCCCCAGGGAGCAGAAATCTGGGGAGAAAACGGGGAGAAACGGGTTAAAATGGGGAAAAAACGGGAAAAATGGGGTTAAATCGGGAAAGAATGGGGTTAAATGGGGTGAAAATGGCACAAATCACCCCAAAATCCACCCCTAAATCACCCCAGGAGCTCCAGCAGCACCTCCAGGCCCCCCAGGGAGCAGAAATCTGGGGAGAAAACGGGGAAAAACGGGTTAAAATTGGGAAAAAATGGGAAAAAATGGGGTTAAAACACTAAAAAATGGGGTTAAATGGGGTGAAAATGGCACAAAATCCACCCCCAAATCACCCCAGGAGGTCCAGCAGCACCTCCAGGCCCCCCAGGGAGCAGAAATCTGGGGAGAAAACGGGGAAAAACGGGATAAAATTGGGAAAAATGGGGTTAAAATGGGAAAAATGGGGTTAAATTGGGAAAATATGGGGTTAAATGGGGGGAAATGGCAGAAATCACCCCAAAATCCACCCCTAAATCACCCCAGCAGCTCCAGGAGCACCTCCAGGCCGCCCAGGGAGCAGAAATCTGGGGAGAAAACGGGGAAAAACGGGTTAAAATTGGGAAAAAATGGGGTTAAAACGGGAAAAATGGGGTTAAATCGGGAAAGAATGGGGTTAAATGGGGGGAAATGGCAAAAATCACCCCAAAATCCACCCCTGAATCACCCGAGGAGATCCAGGAGCACCTCCAGGCCCCCCAGGGAGCAGAAATCTGAGGAGAAAACGGGGAGAAACGGGTTAAAATGGGGAAAAAACGGGAAAAATGGGGTTAAAATGGGAAAAAATGGGGTTAAATGGCATTAAATGGGGTGAAAATGGCCCAAAATCCACCCCCAAAGCACCCCAGGAGCTCCAGCAGCACCTCCAGGCCCCCCAGGGAGCAGAAATCTGGGGAGAAAACGGGGAAAACGGGTTAAAATGGGGAAAAAATGGGGTTAAAACGGGAAAAATGGGGTTAAAATGGGAAAAAATGGGGTTAAATGGCATTAAATGGGGTGAAAATGGCCCAAAATCCACCCCTAAATCACCCCAGGAGCTCCAGCAGCACCTCCAGGCCCCCCAGGGAGCAGAAATCTGGGGAGAAAAAGGGAAATTTGGGTGAAAATAGGGAAAAAATGGGGAAAAAATAGGAAAAATGGGGTTAAAACACTAAAAAATGGGGTTAAATGGGGCTAAATGAGTGAAAGATTTCTCCCACGTTTCTCCCAACTTTCCCTGAATTTCTCCCAAATTTCCCCAAATTTTGGGGTTTTCTGACCCCAAATGACCTCCCAACGACCCTGAGTGACCCCTGAGTGACCCCTGAACTCTACTCCCCAAATTTCCCCAATTCTTGGTGTTTTCTGACGGTGAGTGACCCTGAATGACCTCTCACTGACCCCCAGTGACCCCGGAGTGACCCCGAGTGACCCCTGACCTCTACTCCCCAAATTTCTCCCACATTTCCCTGAATTTCTCTCAAATTTCTCCCAATTTTTTGGTGTTTTCTCGCCCCAAATGACCCCGAA